ATACATGTGATACGGTCACACTTCCGCTTTAACCCGAATCACCTCACATGATTCTACTCCGCTTTAGCCTACCCCCAGAAAAGGCAATGAATATCATCAATCAATGAATTATAAAATTAAAAAAATAAAAAAATTAAAAAATATTCAATAACGTTATTTCTTTTATTAATTATTTCCCATGAAAATAGATAAAATAAATTATTGTCCGGCAGGTCATTCTTCCGAGGATTTCGCTTATTCTGATTACAGAAATCTGATTCATTCTAACGGAATATGTTCATTATGTACCAAAGAACATTTTATCCAAGAGTTTAAAACTTGGTCTAGTGGAAATTCTGACATTGATAAGATTATACAAGAATCTCAAATAAATTACATTTATGAAAAGTTGCATTGGATACCTTATGATAATTTTCAAAGTATCGAACACATAGCAGATGGAGGTCATGGATCTGTGCATTCCACCAAATTAAAAAATGGAATAAAAGAGAGATGGAATTTTATCGAACAGGATTGGGAATATAATTCAATAGGCAAAAAAGTTGCTTTGAAAGAAATAAAAGATTCTATATATGATATAGTTGAATTTCTGAAAGTGGTATGTTTATTTATATTTAAGTTATTAATTTTTTGTAATTTATTAATTTGTCTTTTAATATTAAGGTAAAGTCTGTTAATGGTTTTCGTTTCTTTGCCAAATATTATGGAATTTCAAAAAATCTTTCCACACAAAACTACATTATTGTTATGGAATTATTTGAGGATGACTTACATAAATTTTTAACTAAAAATTTTTGGGATTTAAGGTGGCGATCAAAAATAGACATATTATTATCAATAGCATTGGGTCTCGAAACCTTGCATACAAAAAATTTAGTTCATTGTGACCTTCATAGTGGAAATATTTTGATAAATGATTCTTTCGATCTTATTAATTATGACCTAGTAATAGATTTAGGTTTATATAAATTAGAAAATGATTTAATTTTAAATTCTTATAACAAAAATGACAAAATTTTTGGATCAACTCCATATATTCCACCTGAGGTGTTAAGAGGAAATAAATTTTCAAGGGAGGGTGATATTTATAGTTTTGGTGGAATTATGTATGAAATAGTTACTGCACAACGACCATTTGTTGACCAAGCACATGATACTTATTTGATGATAGATATATGTAATGGTGTAAGACCAAAGGTCCCTGATTTTATGTTAAATTGGATTCCAGAATGGTATTTAGACTTGATGTATCGATGTTGGAGTGATGATCCTTTTGAACGTCCAACATCCGCAGAATTATTTGATTTATTTTGGGTCGCATCAGAAAATACAGCAGATAATGATGTTATTCGACAACTTAAAATTGCTGATGAAAATCAAAAGAACACATCAAAATCTCAAAAGCAAGAATTATTTGAATTATTTTCATATTCAAGTAAGTTACATCCTCAATCATGTTATATTAGCCGATATATTTTTACTCTCTACGGATTAAATGATTTATTGGAAGATCTCAAATCTGGAAAATCATCTGGTAATATTTTTAGAATAATTTTTAATTAATTAATTAATTATAAAATTTTAAATTATTTAAATTTTTTAAATTCATAGATCCTAATTTATTATTTAAGTCCAATGAATCAACTACTTCAAGTGTCAATACTCATGATATTGCTGGGGAAATAGAAATTCAAAGCAAATAGATGAATCCTTGGATTGAGTTATGATTTCAAAAAATTTAAAGAATAGGTTAATTTGGTTAAGAGAATAATAAAAAGAGATGGAAAAGTTCTGGAAAACTTTTATTTTATTTTTTTTTAATTTATTTTATTTATTTGAATTATCAGAATTAATTATCTAAATTATATTTTGTATTAAAATTCGGTTATTAAAGATAATTTATTAATTTATTTAATTTTTTTTTGAAATATTTCGCGTGCATAAATGTTATTATTTGCTTATAAAATTACTTTGCTGGAATTTTTTTATTGTTTTATTACTCTGAATTATGCTTAAAGGTTAACAAAATCAATTAATTTCTTCTATTATTATACGTATATGAATTGATTTTTTTTACATAACGACACTATCAGTTATATCCCTCGAAGCACATACTGTATATTTTATTTGTTTTTTACATAACTTTGCTATAATTATTTCTTAAAAAGGTGCCTGAACTCAATAATACTTGAGAGAAATCTAGAGAAGCAATAGAAACAATGAATATATATGTTAAATAAGGAAAAAATGCATTAAAAAAAATTCGAGATGCCTTTCAAGGTAAGGGTTCGTGTTTTTTTTGTTACCACAAAGAAGACAAAAAAGAGGGTAGCATAAGATAAATGCCTTCAAGGTAAGATGTTCTGCTTTTACTTATCGTAATGGAGAAAATAAAAAAAAGGATGAAATAAGGCATATTCTTATTTATTGGGTCAACACAAATTTGATGCTTTCTCTCGAAGAAAATTTCTATTATAACAAACTTATTCCTTGCAGAAATTGCTTATAATAAACACGAAAAGCAAGATTATTAAAAGGACACCAACGGAGATCTCAGGATATATAATAGCACAGAATTTATATTTATGACAACTCATAAATTCTGTTAGATTCTTCATCAATCTTCGTTCTTGTCTATTGTTAATCGACTTAGCCGAATCGGCTTCCAAATCGCTAAGTCGACTAATGACCTTTTGGTTCAGAACACTTGCACCTTTTTTTTTCCCAAAAAGAAAGAAAATCTGTGAAATATTTTATATTAAATACCAAATGTCATAATATTCAAATCTTAATTTTTGATCATTTTTACATTTTTTACACTTTATGAACATAGAAAATAATAATATATACTATTTACTGATAAAAAATAAATATATAAAAATTCATAAAGTAATTCTGAATAATTATTTTAATAACAAATTCTGAATAATAATTTTAATAACTAATGAATATATTCAATAATAATTTATAATAGTTTTTTACGCATATAGAAGTATTTTAAAAAAATCGGAAAAAAAAGAAAACTGTTTATATTTATGAATAAGAAATAAAATAAATAAAATTACATAAAATACATAATCTATAAATATCTAAAATTTTTATTACTCTTCAATATCAATGCTGATATTATTTATCCAATTTTTTATTTGTTTTTAATTTCAGTTCACGATTGATTGAACTATTAACATATTTGTTTTCCAAGAAATCTGACTTTAAGTTCTTATTTCCCAGTTCAAGTTCAGGTGTTTCTGATCCATAATAATAAATTTTTCTTAATTCACCAAAGTTCTCGTTGAATTCCTTAAGGTCGTTGAAAGTAATCTCAAGTGTGTGAACCATCTTGGGGCATTTCATCACTGGTGGCTTATTATTACGAAAATTCTTAAGAAAATTGAAAGTAGATTTATTGATACAGTTTAGTACTTGTTGAATTGTAACAGAAAATCCTTTTACACTGCTTTCAAATTTCCAGTCACCGCAATTATCTCCAAATGATGGTAAGTTTTGTCGATTTTCAAAATCTTTATCAAGTTCTTGCGCAGAACAAAAGTATTCCCACGATACACCTTTTACAGGACAACGATTACATTTCATACGCCAATAATCAGTTGTTGACCTGAAACTTTCAATATTTTTATCAATGTAACTAGCAATTGCCCCAGGACTTTGACCAGCACTTAAATTGAGGCCACGGGTTTTCTCACTACCAACTGATTGCTCAATAGAAGTATGTTTCTGTGGTCTATATTCATCTTCAATCGATATAGATGCGTAATCAGGAATACTTGGTATTGGAGAAACATTAATTGAAACAGAATCAAGATAGTAACCAACAAAGTTTGGAAGATGGCATTGTTTATTTAACATTGGTCCTATTCCACAAGAATGTAAATTTACTATGAATTCCAAAGTATTCTCAGATGATTTTGAAAATTTCTTATCACAACCAACATTTGCCCAGAGATAAACTTTTATATTAAAAGTTTGGAAATCATTCTTATGCCTAACTCTTGCTGTAGATGAAACCTTTAGAAATTCATCTCTATTTTCTTTCTTTTTTCCTTTTCCATTTCCACCTCCACCTCCTTTTCCATCTCCACCTCCATCTCCACCTCCATCTCCACCTCCATCTCCACCTTCACCTCCACCGCTATCTCCATTGTTATCCCCATCGTCACCATTACTATTTCCATTTGCATCTCCCGTCTTCACAGCACCATCTGATAAATCATTAGTAATCCTGTTAGGTGTAGAAGTATTCGATGGAACATTATGATTATCATTACCGCCACTTGTATCTTCATCCATGGGCTCCACCATTTGTTCTACAATTTCATAATTGTGATCAAACAATTCGGAAAGTTTTGCTAAAACTTGTGATTCAAGTGGTTTAGAAACATAACAGGTGATACACGGTATTAAGTAACCTTGTTTAAAGTTAGGTCCCACAGCATACACAGGTTGTGACTCTAGAATATTATAAATTGTATCCTTTTGATCAAGTAACAGATTTTCAAGATTTGTAGTTGCTGTTGTACCAAGCATGATAGTTGCTTTTACTGAGAAGAAGTCTGTTTTGAATATGTCTTCCGAAGAAAACTTATTAATATTATCAACTAATTCTGAAAATTGAAAATTATTGAGAATATCACCAAAAACTGCATTATTTATGACAGGCTTTTCTAATTCTTCATCTACGATTTCATCATAAGCTGCTTCTTTAAACAATCTAGTAGCTTGTTCACGATCTTTCTCAACTACAATTCCTTCCCATAAGTAATATCCTTTCCAATATTTTGCAAGTGCATTATTTAGATCTGCATATGCTAAAAAACATTCCCAAGCTTTTGCATGTTCACCTTTCCTATGTGCTGCAATGCCTTCTTCGAGAGGAATTATTTGTGATATCTCATGAATATCAAAATCCATGTCCGGTAAATCCGAGCCACCTTCATCACTAATGGAAACTGCATCTAAATCTAATTCCTTATCAGATAAAATTGGATCAGAAAATTCTTTGTTGGGTGTGCAATATTCATCAATTAGGTGATCCAAATTTACAAAAATATTTTGAAGAGATGCACGAATTTCTGGGTCTTCCTGCCAGGCTTTTCATATAAAATATATATTGATCAAATTAAATAAGTTAAATATGTTATTTTTTTTTTCGAAAACAAAAAGTCAATAAAAACAATAGTAACAACTTACCGGATATAATGATTTTCGCCAATCCTATTTGAAGTTTTTCAACATCTGGAGGAGCCTTTTTCAACGTGATTTTTTCTCTTTTACCAGCCAACACATGTTCTTTAACCTTCAATGTATTCCATTTTTCGTATGGAATTTTTTCGAAAACAAGTTCCCAGAGTAACATACCAAAACTAAATATATAATATAAGAAAC